GAAAGAGACAAAGGGAGTTTATTATTCAATTGTATTTAAATCGCGCGCAAGATCTTTTTTGTGTAAGAAAAACATCGTTTGTGGAGACGCTCCTTTCGAAACTATAAATCGCCATTTATAAAAGGGGATCAAAAATAATTTTTTTTTAATACTACAGAGATTATTCAATATATAACGATTCAATAATTATCGAAAATGAAAATTGTCAAATCAGTTATACATATGTATACATTAATTTATACATCGCCGTTAGAAATGATAAATTTTGTTTTAGCTTCGGAATAGAAAAGTATATATATATCGATATATCCTGCGTTTTAAACATTTACGATTCTCGTTGAACATGGAATAGATAATAAATTTATTACATTCCGAAAGAGGTGAACGTAGAAATAAAAATAAACGAGATAATAAAGATAGTTAATAGTAGAACTGCAAATTTATTCTATCCGAGGGGACGGGATGCTGTAATGGGATTTGAAAAAAAAATAATAAACGCGTTGTATTTCCTGGATTAATGCGAAAGCAAGAAATTGCGATATCGGAAATGCGCGTCGATTAATTATTAAGGCCCGGCCTTAATAATTGCGCGAAAATACGATCCTACGAGGATATATGAGGGTGAGTTTCCTCCACGTATTTCAGGAAGAGCGAGTTCCTCCGCATGGACTTGTTGACTCGGAAGACAAAGAGCCGCCCTCTCCCACCTCTCCCCTTCCCTCTTCGCCCACAAGAGGAGGGGTGAGGCAAAATTAGTTTGCGGCCACCGAGAACTTAGATCAAACCGTCAAACTCCGAGCTCGACGTAACCGGTCTCGCGTGCAATTAAAGCCCCGACGGAGTTCGAGCCCGAGGAAAAGCTCGGCTTTTCCCGCGCGACGCCGGCGCGACGACGTTGGATTGCGAGGAAAAATTGCGCCCCATCGTCAACTATTTCGCGATTCTCTAATTATAGAGAGAGAGAGAGAGAGAGAGAGAGAGAGAGAAATCCTCCTTGTTTCTCCTTCAAACAACAACGTATATAGATCTCACGACGATCTTGAAACACTCCGGACATCCCATTTCGCGAAACGAAATTGTTCATGGTTTTCCTTCTTTTAAAAGTACCGGTGATTGCGGTGAAATTTAAAAAGCCTCGACATATCCGGGCCGATAAAAGTCTCCGATATATCCGACAATCTAATTGTCGTAATGATAACCCGCACGCTCGTCAAGCACGTGTTTGCGACAATGAGCTCGGAGAGGCGAGAGAGGAGAGAGGCTGAAATTTTTACTCGTCGTATCGTTTTTTCTCGATGCGATACGGGCGGATGCCGGTGATCCAAGAATTTCACTATCGTACGTGCGGGCCTTCTTCCTTCTCGTTCATATTGCGTCGCGCATCGCCTCCTCTATATATGCGTACATGGTGAAAAAAAAAAAATTACGTTCTTAACGCGTAACAGAACCCACGTCGCTCCCCAGCCGGATGTAACGGATGCAGCCGCCTGTGGGCCTACGCCGCGAATCAAATCGATCGTGATCGCCTCGGGCGACTTATTTCGCGTCGGAGTACGGGGAATACCTATATATTAATTGCGAGAAGATCCGGATGCTTCCATATAAGTTTCCTCTCGCGCGCATCTGCAGATCGGAAAAAATTCACGGTATACAGCGTCGTACTCGCGATTGCGCAAGAAAGGAGACTTCACGGTCGCGGCAGCATATTTTATTAATGATATAATGACTGCGCGTATATTAGCTGCAATAATACATCAATTGGATATACAGTTTCGACGTGGTAATTTGATGTGAATTATGCATTTACAGCTGCAATGCGTATTATTGATGTCAATTAATTTAATACATCACGTTATCATAATGTATTAAACGGATACGATTACATTGTGTTCTATTTGGTCGACGTCATCGACACATGATTATCGGTGATTAAAATTACATCGCGACGATGTCGCAGGCACGCGGGGAGAGGAGACGTGCCGTTGTTGCGTCGGGAAATTCAAGAGCGGGACACGCGAGTTAGAGGGGTGGCGATTGCACTGCGGGATGGGATTGTACTCCGCGATGATGTTACGAGGAAGTTGCAGTTATCAGTTACACGGGACACTGCGACAAACGGCGACGCGAGAGGACACATGCTAGGGGGAGGAGGGGGGGAGGGAGAGGGCGGCGTGCAGCCGGCGACCGCAGCCGCTGCTAATGGCGCGCTATCGACGTATCAATGGCGCGCTGCGGCTTGCGCATTAATAATACACGTGATTACCATCGAGCGAACTCATCCCGGGGCGCGCCATGGCGTATTCATGGCGTTCACCGTCCGTTCCCCGGATGGAAACCGCGCGCGCCTCCGTCCGATCAGAACCGGAACCTGTCGCCCTCCGCCCATCCCTATATGCACCGAGAACCGCCCTCCCTCCCCTCCTCCCGATAAACAATTAAAAACCATCACCTGGAACCCCGCGCGCCATCCTGAATAAGCCAGAGACCTGTGGCGGAGGGCACCGCAAATACTATAATATAGCTCGACTATTATAAGAAAAAAAAAGTGTCGCGTTCCCACGTATTGTGTCGATTTTCAACTCGAGTAATCTCGAGAGTCCTCTTTTTGCATCGTTTTTACTCTTAATACGGTTGGGCATTGCGATTCGGTGGCGTGGTATCGTCTGACAAGAAGATCCCACCTCCCGGGAGACTCAAAACGCAATTCAGATAATAGGATTAGGATCGGGATTAAATTGTCAGGTTATAAAGAAATGCGTGAGTGAGGAAATGGTCAAGTAATACGAGATGTAAAGTAAAGAGATATACACACGCGCGGGAGATTGATGACAGGGCAATGGCGCAATTGCGATGCAAATGGAATATTAGCTAGCAGGAGGGTTGATACAACATCACTGGTATAATCCAGCATCCCTTTCGTCTCCCCTGCCCCTCCCTCTGCCCCTCCGCCCCTTTTCGGCGGTTCCATCGGCACGGCTATGTGGTCGCCGGCGATTTCTGTGTTCGTGGCCGCGCAAGCTAATCGGGAGTCGCTCCTTAATTAGAAATTAGGCGGTCTCATTCGCCCCCCTCTCCTCCGCCCCTCTCTCACGACCCCCTCAAACTCGGGTGTCGGGGAGCCGCGCTGAATTTTTCATGCGAACGAAATTAGAATCGATCGCCACCGCCGCCGCCGCCGCCGCCGCCGCCGGCGGGGACCGCGAAATTAAATCGCGGGGGACAACGCGGAGAGAGGGGCGACGGGGAGGGTAGGTAAAAAGTCAACGGTGGTCCATCGACGGAGGGGTGGGAGGGAACAGGTTTCCGCGACCGCGCAATTTGCGCCCCGATTATTTATTTGTCAGCGCAATTAATGCCCGCCGCGAAAAATTTATCGATCCGCGCACATCCGTCGTAGTTTGTTTATTAACGAAACATTCATTCGTTTGTCCGTTTATTGATGGATTTATGGTATCATTTATTACCTTGGTTATCCGCGTGTTTATTTACGGATTTATCTATTTATTTAATTATACGCGTGTGTATGTGCGTGCGTGCGTGCGTGCGCGCGCGCGTCCGCCTCTGTAGCGACTAGCCGACTGACCAATTTATTTTCATTTATTTCATTTATATTTATACCTAGCTCCGCTTTCTCTCGCTGAGGCAAAGTGATTCCGAGTCTCTATAAAAAATGCACGTCCGTCGGCGAAATGCCTTGTGGAATCTTGTTGCAATCGTGAAAAGCCAGGACGAGCTTAAGCAGAAGAAGAAATAAGAGAGAAAGAAAGAAGCAAAGAAAAAAATTATATGGAAATGGTAGAAAGATCGTGGAACATAAACAGCTGTGTCACTGATAACAAATAATTTATACAGATAAAGAAGAGTCCACTGCCCCCCCCCCCCCCCGAGACGCGACAGAACGTACGAATGGGATTTTGTCGGAAAGGAGAAAGAGGGGGAGAGGACAGAAGGAAAAGGCGAACACGCGCGTGAGAGAACTGATTTATCTCGCTCTCGCTGCACCGATCGAAATTAACTCGGAAGATCCCGTTCGCTTAAAGACCCATCGATCGGCGCGACTGCGCTGAATGCCGGCTCGCAAAAGGGACGAGCAATCCCGTAGGAGCTTTGTGTCCTGGCTACTGAAATAACTTCCTGCTTTACTGTCGACCGGAAAATTATCTCGTAATGTCTACTGCTTTCACGAGGAATGAAGTCTTTCTCGTAGGATGATCTTTCGCGAAACAATTTCCTGATATTGCAATATAGTGTATTTTTAACGGAAAACGCTTTTTTTTCACGGGGACAGAGTCTTTCGTTCCTCATTAATTTTTCCAAAATCTCGTTGATAAGAGTACAAAGTATAATATATGGTAGTACCGAGAGAAGAGTAAGAGAAAGACTTCCTTTACTTATAACGGATTAGGAAAGTAAGAATTTGCGAATAGGTAATAATTCATCGGCTGGAGAAGTTCCGTCTCTCTCTCTCTCTCTCCCTTCGTCTGCAGGAAAGCGGATTCGAGGTGAATCGTTCGTTCGTGACCTGCGCGAGTTTTAATTGCCCGGCGATTAAAAGTTTCCGTGTCGTTCCGAGACGGTCGTTCCGACAGATCGAGCGTTGCGTGAGGGAGCGCGACACTCTTCCGCGGAACAATCCAGGAAAATCCGCGGAGAGTGGGGAAAATACCCGGCACCGAAGCGCCCTACATCGAAAAAAATCGCACACACACCGCCGGAGACTACAGGTAATTCAAAAACTTTAGATTAAAATCGAGCAAATTAATTATATTCAGATCGGAAATTCGCTTTACCTCGGTGAAAATTATCGTATCCATCCCGGGATCCTGTAATGCGGGAGAGACTCGAAAGAACCGCGCGCGCGCGAGAAGTCTACCGGGGTGGATAAATAAAAAGAGAATACCTCTCGACCGCCGATAGGAGAATTCACCTGTCCGGAAATCTCTATGCTGAGATTTATCTTCCGCGTATCTTCAAGTGTACGAGCGTTTAGAAAAGGATACATCTCTTGGAAGAAGTCCAGATGCGGCGGCTGAAGGATATCCAGCGCGGAAAGGACCTGCAAAAGAGACAGGAAGAGATTGAGTGCCCCGTCCTTTGACTGGACGAAAGAGACAGAGAGAGAGAGAGAGAGGGAGAGAGAGCACGTGCGATTGATCCCTCTTTTTTTCCGCGCAAAAAGTGGGCTCCGGCAGGCAGAAGACTGCGAGGGGGAGGACAACGCGGCCTCGTCCTCGGGGAAATAAAACGCGGAAATTTCCGAGGCGCCCACCGTGCAATTTATACACGATCCATCTTGAATGTTCGCCCGGATATTCAATGCCAAGCAGTACATGCCAAACGCTATATCTATTTGATTCCAACGAAACGTGCGAAACAAAATCTCTGTCGTCACACTTTACGACAGGTAATTATTAAATGATTTTCATAAAATGTTATAAAAAAGTAATATATTAAGCCGAGGCGTAAACCACCAATTAAAATTATGTACCAATGGCTATGTAATGCCCGGGGTAATGCCCAATTTCTTGACCGACCGTATGTCCCTCGGATAACATTTTGAAAACGCAATCTTATTATTTAGCGTAATTTATTTAATATTCACACTTTATTACGTGTTGTAAATATGTGTTTGACATAAAACAATTGTCAATTGTTTAGAAATAAAACGTAATAGTGCTCAGTAATGCTCAAGAAATGCCCAGCAATGCCTAGCAATGCCTCGAATCTGTACACCGCCTTCAGCGGTTTACCCCTCGTATTAAGCTCATAAATGCTAAAAAGATTTGCTATTGTCAAAAAAAAACCAGTTTTAAATTTATTTTAAAGAAGAGATGCACAAGAAAAAATTTTACGATTTTTTTAAATCACAGACAATTATTATACTATATGCAATCGTATAATAATTGTTACAATTATGGCAATAAATAATCATAAATAATCATAGAAATTTTTGAAAGCTAGGTGTAGAGACTCGATGTCGGCATCATATATTATCGACAGAATTACAACGTTTTTATCTTCATGCCTGTTTCTACCGGAATTCTCCCATCTTTTTCTGTGTTTGTTCATCGATCACACATATGTTTGACACGCGACAAATATAATACCACTCACGTTATCGTGTTTGAAGAAGCAAAGCATTTTCAGCTCCCTGAAGACTCGCTTGCTGCTCACGAGACTTTGAAAGACGTTCGGCAGTTTTTTTAAGGCTACTCTCCTACCATCCCTCGGGTCCGTGACAGCCCTGGAAAAATCATAGAAACAACAGGTAAATTAAAAAAAATACATTCTCAACACTTTGTTGACGATCAATGGTATAACTACCAAAGTTATATTTTGACAAGAAAAAAATGTGTCTCTGCGTTTACGGTTATTATGTTTACTAATGTTATTACAATATTTGTACGAGAGAAAAATGATTGGATAGCCATCATACGGTCTCGTTATAACTAACGAGTAGGTATGTAGTTATTTTGGACAATAAATCACTCTCCTTTCCTTTCGCTTCGTCATATACTTGCGTCATTTTATGACTTTTATTTCCCCTCCTTTATCTTTCTGCTGTTTATATATGCATACACATTAATAATAGTAGATTACTTCATTTCTAATGTGTAATAAAATATCTTAAAGCTCATAAAGACTCGCAAAACATAAAGCAAGAAGAGAAAGACTGAAGTTCAAGTTTACGTTAAAAGCATCTTACATTCAAATATCATTCGAGGAATAATAGGATTCGGGGAATATTGGCAAATAATCAGCTATAATAATATCCGGGAACTCGCGTCGATGATAACCTCCCGGAAATACAGCGAACGACGATCTATTACTCCCCCTCTCCTTTCCCGCCCCTTCCTTCCCATGATCTCCCCCAGCCCTTTAGGCCAGTTCCGAGAATAATTATTATCCCAGCAATTAGTCCGTTTACGGCTACGGGTTCGATTTCATTGTCGAGTGTTGTCGTTACCGCAAAACCGACGATTCCGATTCACGAGAATCGAAGGGAGAAGCAGGGGGGAGGGAGAGGGAGAGAAAGAGAGAGAGAGAGAGAGAGAGAAATCCGACGCTGCCAAAATCCCATTTTCGGTCCGTGTGCCATATCATCTGCCCAGACAGATAAAGTAATTCCCCGTTTTTGAAGAGAAGGAGGACGCGCGGGTGAAAACGATTTTGCGATCTGCGGATGATCACACTCCCCTAGGTATTGAAAAATAGATATACGACACATCAGATAAATGCCTGATATTTCTAGATATAAGTGAAAATATTTATTTTTATAAATAATTTTTATGAACAACAACTGTAATAAACAATTACGTAATATACAATCAAAGTTCGACGAGGTAGAGCGCAAATGAAGGAACAGGAATTCCACTAAATTAGAGCAATCGGCAATCCCGTGATTTATACCATTATATGCAGTAATCACCGTTAACTTTTTATGATTTATTATTATAGTACTGTTATCATTAATTGATTGTCATATATTATTACTGGCGGTTATTGAGCGGCGCTGCTTCGAACGGCATTCACGCTTTATACCGGTTTTATATAAGGTTTTATATAAGGTAGACGGGGAATGACAAATCTCTCGTACTAATCAGGTCGAAGTCGTTAACTTCGTTATGGTACGCTAAATCGATTCGTTCGCACGAGACGGCTGGCTCGCTCTCGTGTAGATTTGCGCGACACATTTATGGACCGGGACTCGACAAAATAAACGAGGCTGTCGATGAAGCGGCCAAAACGGGCCCATTATCTCAAGTGTCGTCTCTTCAAGTCCCACTCACATATGTACGTCCAACCGGTCAGATCTGTTCGTTGTGCCATCGCTACGATTTCGCAGATCGAAGGAGCAAAAAATCGCTACAGTTCCTTTTGGCGAAGTTTTGATTTAATGAAGAAAATGCAGTGTATTAGATGAACAGACATGAATTTATTTGTTTTGAGAAAATCTCTCACGAGAGCATAAAAAAGTTGGTACAAAGCGTGCAAAGAACAAAGTACCGTGTACCTCATAATAATAATAATAATAATAATAATAATGAAAAAAAAAGAAGATAAAGAGTGAGCGAGATCGATTATAATTATTGTTGTCATTAATAATGTCCTTGCATTTCGATTTAATTTATTTACTATAATTAATAATATTTATAAAGCGTGCAACTCCGAAAACTCATATAAATAATATTTCAAAATATTGAACGCGTTATTGCCTGTATTAAATATACATAAATTAATTAATTAAATTCTAATTACTTGATGATACTCTGGCAGATTTCCGATTTTGGTATTAATCAAGAAAAAAACGTTCCACGAGTGGAGGATCGAATTTCGCTCTACGAAAAAAAAAAGATAAAAGTAAAGTAACTAATATTTTCAAGCCATACGTACACGAATGACAAGATTAAAATCTTCACCAATAAAAGTTCCAGTACCTACTGGTCATTAACGGCGCGAGTTTGCCGAAAAAGACTTTCCGACGCGAGGGAAATTATTTTCGATTCGATTCACCTGCGAAAATTAGCGTACGAGGACGTTAATTACATCATCGAGCTTCTTCAAATAGCCGGATCGAAGGAGGAAAGGGGTGGCAAGGGAGAAGGAGGGGGAAAGGGGGGGGGGAGAGAAAAAAGAGGTGAACGAGCCGTCGCGAACCGGCGAGAGATTAAGGTCGATCCACGAAGCCGAGCGAGTCACGAACGTAGAAAGGTACGACGACCTTCGAAAAGGGTCAACGCACCCGCCGCGCGGCGCGGCGGTGCCGCCGTGCGCGTAGTAGGCGGAAGTGAAGTCACGAATTTCGGAGCGGAACGACCGTGAAATGATGCACGTACGGGGTGGTGAAAGAGGAGGGGAGGCGGGGAGGGAGAGGCACAACGCGTCCCCGGAGACCCACTGTCGCGGTTTAAACAATGTTTATTCATTCGGAATCTCGACGACGCGGGACCGGGGGACCGCTTCTGTGCGCGCACGTATATATTACGGCACACACGCGCTCGCGGTGGCACCGGAAGCTGGAGGAAGAGAGGGGGCGGGGCGGGATACTGCCGGAACGGAGAGCATGTCCATTTTTAAGTAAAAAATAAACGTGCCGTTAGAGACGAAGTCTCGGGCGCAATGTGTCGCAGGTATAGTAGCGCCACAAAAGGAGTCTGTGCACTTTAGGGGATTTAGGGGAGCGCGCAGGAATCGTTGGGCTCACCTTTTCTCTTACTCGATTTTTTTTGCTAAAAATCCGAAGATTATACCTAGTCAATATTCTCAATACTCGGGAAATCTTTTTTTTTCGCATTTTAAATAGAGAGAAAACAATGATTTATTTGATCCGCTTTGTAATTCTTTAGTGCAAGTAAGAGCTACGATTTTAAATAAAAATAGATTGAGAAAAATTCGCTTTTTGTCGAGAGAAAGTAATGAAATAAATTATTGTTTTCTTCTGTTTAAAATATGAAAAAAATATTTCCCTCATACTGAGACAGTTTTAACATACAATTCATGGATTAAGCAAGTGAAAGTGAATAAGAAAGATGAAGGCAACGATCAAAATGCGTACCTAAGCTCCTTTTCGAGAAATAAAAGCCAACCGACCGTCGAAATCGGAATTGCGAATTGTGCAGCATTCTGCCTCTGTCGAGGATCGTTCCGAAAAGAAGATATACTTCAAGAATAAAAAAAACGATTAACTAACCGGGAGAATTGAAATCTCCTTAAATGAAGATTAATATTAGATTGTGGAGAACGTATCTCTTAGATTCACAGCGAGATTCGCTCAAGGAACATCATATATGTTATCACAGGATATATCTGGATTTTCTTCGCTCTCGTAGAATCTTGCGGGAGAAGATTTCATAAATATGTCATGAGCCTTCTCGAGACGTCGTTCATCGGTTTAGCGACCGATAACGAAGTTAACGGCCGTCGTCGTGATCTGATCGGCGGGGGGGGGGGAGAGGTGCCTCGTTTTCGTGTGTCTCGTCACCTCGCCGACGGATTTCTTCGTTTATTTCGAGAAGGCGCTTTGTGCGCGCGGCGAGGTCGCCGAACGAAATCTCGCCGAGTGATTCACCTGCTCCGCCGTGACGATGGGGAGGGGACACTTTAAAAAAGTGTCATTGTAACCGGCGGTCTTTTTGTCCGTCGGAAACAAATAGCGAACGATCGCCCGCGGATCTTTCCGCAATCGTTATCGCGAGCGCGATAATGTAGCCTTTGTCATAAAGTCGTGCACCGCTCTTCGTGTTACGTCGCTTATCGTACGTGCCTGTCGTAAGAAACGCTGCAAGAGGAAAGTAAAACCGAGAGCCTTTCAGCTTTACGCGCCAGTTTGGAGGTACCCCGCGAAAGCTTTCCCGAGTGTTATAACGTTATTTCTCGTCGTCACAGGATCGAATGCATTCGGGAAAGCGTATATACAAAAGCCCAAAACAATGTTACTCGCAACAGCTAGGATATTGGTCTCGATATCGGATCGATTTTATTTTGTTTTATTTTTTTTATCGGCCGCGATCCCCCTCGCCGAGCAGATGGAAAATAGATTCGCAGTTCCGCGAGCGATCAAATAAATTAATTTGCCAGGAAAGAGGAAAGAGGGAAAAAGGAAGAGGGGAAGGAGAAAGAGAGAGAGAAGAGAGAATCATCCCGAGTCTGAATATTTCATTCCACGATGGATTTCATCGCGTCGGATGCTTTAAACGGCATTATTAACGTGATTATAAATACGAATGATGTAATCATTCGTAAAACGTCAATGTTTTTTTCGTACTAGGTTTCCTTGCGCGACGAGTGTATTATAAATATCAGTTGTTATGAATGGTTAATTTAAAAATCAGATTACAAGATATACATGTTGAAATATTCAAAAATGTTTTTAGAAATATTCTAATATATTTCCAAACATATTATGTACATATCTTGTAAGTGGCGAAAATAACATTATATTTTATATTCATGGTATTCTACATTTGTATAGTTTATTCTTTATTTCATTCTCTATTCTACTCTGCTGTATCCGATACCTACATTTAGCAATTCTTATTTTTATTCTATATTTTTTCTTCTTCTATAACTTCCATGTTTGTACATAATTTTCCTTTATTTTAGGTACAAAGTATTCCCTCTGTTTTCCCATATATACGCTATTTTTTTCTTACTTTATTGATTGCACAAATAATATTTGAACATTCATCCAAAACCTTTTATTGATTAAATAATGAATAAGACAAGTTTTTATATGATCCGTTT